TGTGTGTGTGTGTGTGTGTGTGTGTGTGTGTGTGTTTGTACATAAAAATATTATAAAATAATAATTAATGTATTGTTAATAAAATAGTTATGAATAAAATAGTTATGGATGAATAAACATTAAAAAAAATTATATAGAAATTATTTAATTATAAAACATTTACCGTATTATTTTATCATATTGTCGTTGAATTTTCATCTCATCCGAATCTAATGGTTTAAACGGCTCTTCAGTAAGATAATTAATTAACGTTACAAAATTTTCATAATTTATACTCAAAATAAACATTTTGTAACATGAAGCTAATGTAGTTAGCATCATATTTATATTGTTTGTGAAATCATCAGCATTGTCGACACATAAAACAATGTCCATAATTTGCAATATTGTAAATGTATATAACATAGCCATTACGTACAAACTATAGATATTATAAACTATCTTTTTAAATAAAGATGTCCATGACTGCGGTCGAAAACATCCAGATATTATAACGATTGAATATGTCAATTTCAGAATATTCATTGTATGTAGAAGTTTAATTGCGTAAAAAAAGAAAAAAAGCAAAAGAGATATGTGTAACAGAAATTAGTTATATAATGCGTGTCATTAATTTTGTTAGTAATTGTGGAAATCTTCGGACAATATTCATTGCTCTCGAGATAATTTTAACTTGATCTCTATTATATGAGAAGTAAAGTACAGTAAGAATCTCTATTGAATGAGAAATAAGATGCAGAAATAATATAGTTCAAAAGAGTACACTGAATGTCCATAGACTTATGACACTACTTTCCGACGATAAAATTTTTCATCCTCGATATTTTCTACTTACTCGTGCATATTTAACATCTGTACACAGAACATCTTCCACAATATCTAGTAATTGTCTTTAATAATATTTCCATATTTTAAGATAATTGGATTCATTTCTACATAAATTCTGTCATATATATAGAAGTAATATTTTTAATACTACATAAAAAAATTATAAATGTAATAAAAGGAGGAAAAAAATTCTTCAAAGATTCATCAATAGAATATGAAATGCGAACTCGACAATATCTTGATATATTTGTCGTTGCTGTATAAGATACATATTTTATTACATTATCTTCTATCTTTCGAATAGAATAGCGACATTCTAATATTGATTCCTATACACGCAACGTAATCAGGCAAAGGAGTTCACGTTAGTAGTATTTACTTATTTGTAAGATATTATCATACAGATAAAAGAATTTAATATAATAATTAAATTTCTAATATTATATTTTTATTACATTATCATGCAATTTCGATTTTTTTCTTTTAAGCGCATCACATGATTTTTTTTATGATAAAGATTTCTAGTCACTCCGCATAAAGCAATAAAAATATTAAAATAAAATCTATATGTTTATGAGGTATTACATATTTCAAATCCGATTACAATAATATCTAAAATTTGTACATTTTAAGTACAAAGAGTGTGACAAATTTAAATTTTATAACAATATTTATGTATATTTTTCAGTAATATATGTAAAAATACTTTCAAAATATAAAAGACAATGTTTCATATAT